TTTTTTAATGCAAATGTTCTCGAAACTCAACTCTCTGGTGGGAAATAAAATGGAATTTTTTTTTTTTCCTGGAATAAGCTCAATGCTTTTCTGTACGAATGGAAGATTTTTACAACCAGAATTCTACCCTGCAGTTTCCACTACTCTGCGGATGACTTTTAATGTGATCACTGGGTTTAGTTCTCTGATTGTGTATGTTGTAATTATGTTATTTCTTTATAGTGATATATCGTGATTGGCAGAATGGATTTAGGGCTGAATCCTATTTTTGTTTCCACCTTTAGTTGTCTTTGCATAGGAACCAGAGTGAGAACCAGAACTCAAGAGGAGGAAGTTTGCATAGAAAGATTTAGCTGTAACTGAGTGTGAAGGAGTCTATTTATGGAAATCCAGGTAGTGTCTGTAACATTTGTTTTCCAAGGGATTGAAGAAATGCATATTAGTCTGAAAAAGATTAAAACAGAGACTTTAAAAAGGTGTGATTCATAACTTGCCTCATTTCCCAAATTGGTTTTTTAATGTAAATGTAAATGTTTATTGCTACAAAAGAAACTATTTTCAGCCTCCTGTTAATCATATATTTGTTCTAAACTGAGCTATAAAATAGTGATTGTATAATGTCCCACTCATATATTCATGATCAGTTACATAATCTTTCATACTTCACTTGTACATGTTTTGTAAAACTATGGCTTTGTGATTTTGATAAACAAAAAGTAGTGTATCAAAACTGCTTTGCATGCTTTGACAGGTAGTGACACCCTGTGAAAGTAGGGCACTGTCAGCTGTATTTTAGCTGATTTGAATTTTCCATGTCTCTGAATAAAATAGATATAGCAAGCAATGTGTTCATATCCTTGCTTTTATATAGAGTAATTTAGTGACAAATTTCCTAAGGGAAATTGTCGATGTCCGCTCCCGGCCGGCAGGAAGGACACACGACAAAGTCTGGTAGTGGACAACCTTTTCTTTTTATTTTCCTTCTCCGTACAGCCTGCCCTGGGTTCTCCCAGCTGAAGCCTCCTCTGGTCCGCTCTCCGCGGCTCCTTTTGGGCTTTTACTTCTGGGCTTCTACCTGGCTTCTTCTTCCGCCCAGGGGTGGCACCGGTATATATACGGGTACAGTGTCCAATCATGTTAAAGTAAGCAAGGCAAGCTGATTGGCTAACATCATCAGTTGCCAGGCAGACTATATTGTTGAGCGGGTTGTTTACGCGGTAAGCAGGAAACTAACGTGCTCGATGGGAGGGGTAATCTACCTCAGGCTTTGCTCTTTACTACAGGCCTCACGTCCGCCAAGTGAGGCGACCGGGCTCGGGGCTGCGGCTCCCAACAGGAAATATGGAAGGATCTTGATAGTTCAGCTCATTCTTTCACTGTCTTTTAGAATGATAGTATCTACCTAATCAGGGCTTTTCATCTTGGCTTTTACTTAGGAGTCAGATAATTCTTTGTTGTTGCAATGCATGTTTTATTGGGGGTAAGATATGGATGCTTAATGTTTAGTTGAACTTCAAGATTATGTTTAGATGTAGCATCAACACCTCACCACCCTAAATGTCTGAAATGTTCCTGAACATGAAGAAAGAAACTGTCCAAGTTTGAGAAGCTCTGATTCCTTTCCCATGGTCATGGTGACAGCATCAGCTAGAAAAATGGTGACATCATTTTTCAGTGATTACTGACTCTGATGATTGAGGTGTTGTCTATGTACTGTAGATTTCTCCTTTACAAGAAACGTATTTTCTTCTAGTTGGCTGAGTTATTAAACAAACGATTACATGTGTGTCAAAAGTTATTCTGGTGCCTTGATTTTCATCATAAGTCACAATTTAAATATTCAGTACTGACTGCCTTAATCAGGAATGAATTAATCATGCCTTTCTCTACAGTATTTGCATTTTTGGTAATTATAGACTAATGAGTGTGCCCTTTATGTGATATTTTAGTTCACTTATACCTTGATAAATATTTCAGCTTTGTGATAATTAGGTAATATTGAACATTATTAATTAGAAGTTCAATCTACAGAGATAGCTTAAAATATTTAAAAGTTGTTTTAATTTCCTAATATTCTTTGAATAAAATTCTTTATAAACTTATTATACCCAAATATCAGAATTAAACAAAACTGAACATTTTTATTACAATTAGCTAAGCTCATATGATAATACACACAGGGCATGTTTGTTGTACATCTGATTTTGTTGCCTTTGCCAGAAATGTAGAGAGGAAAGAAAGTGTCCAGTAGAATTGCTTCATTTATGAAGTAATTTTGCAAAGCTACAATTTCATAAAATCATCTAAATCTTAAAAACGATGAATTTTCAGTAGCAACAAAACCAAAGAAAACTTTCTAGAATTAAAGCTTTTTAATGAAAAATTAATTACGTTTTCATAAATACTGTGCTCTTTGTGTAAATTATTTTCTTACAATATAAAAAAGAATGATTATCTTTAAAGTAGAAAGTATGATTGCCCATTATAACAAACTAGCAATTTTTGTAATTTTGTTTTTCATTCAATATTACCCAGATATTTGTGTTCTTAATACAAAAAGCTCAGCCTCATATAGAACATAGAACATATGTAAAATGTAAATCAGGTTGACATGCACACATTTGAAAAGCTAGCACATATTTGAAGAGAGCACTTTTTTTAGTGATAAAAATATACTATAGCATAGTTGAGCATGAAGGCTCATGCCTGTAATTCCAGCACTGGGGAGGCTGAGGCAAGAGAATCCTTGCAAGTTTGTGATCAGCTTGGGCTATAAAGTGGGCTCAAGACTAGCCTGGAACGCATAATAAGTACCTGTCACAACAAAAGAAAACAAAAATACAACAAACACACAAAACACACACACACACACACACACACACACACACACACATATGTGTGTGTGTTGGTAGTAAGAATTAAAAATGTTGACTTTTACCTTTCCGCATTCTTAAAGCACTGAAAATCATTCTTGAATTTTTTTTCAATTATGTCATGAGTCAGAACTTTTATATGACCAGGGCCAGAGTATGGAAATAATAAGACAGCAGAAATTACAGAAAAACATTAAATGGAAAGTTTGAAACTTTCATATAACTAATTTGATTTTCATGAAGCATTAATAATTGTTTAAACATTTCTACTTTTAACTAGATTTTGGACATTTTTAAATGACATCTAAGATTCATTGGGATTTTACATGAAAAATTAATGTTTTTCAATTATTGAAACATTTACTTACTATTGAAAGGATTTGTTCTCCTAATGGGTTCATATTCTGCTTCAAACACGTACAAAAGTTTTAATAATTTTACTCATTTATTGTAGGGCTACTGAAGAATTTTTTCCTGTCCATTAAAGATTTGACAAGGTAAACTAAAATGTTGTAGAGCTACGAGTAATCTCATTAGCCGTTGAATGCATTCGGTGCTACTTGATATCAGCTGAAGCTGAATTAAATTAGTCACTGGTGCATTTGCCAAATTGGAGCCAGAAAGTCTACCCTAATTAATTTTAAAATAATTTTCTCTCAGTAATTTATGGAGTAGCCACTGAAGAAATCACATTACTTCGGAACTAGCAAGATCTATTTCTTTTAGAGTAGGAAGATAATTATTGCCTCTTAAAAATGTCTTCTTTTAAAAAATTTTAAACTCGTGTCATATCTGTAGTTATAAAATGTAATCATAAGAAGGAATGAAAGATATGCTTAAAATTTTACATGGTGTTTACATAAAAATCAAACCAAAGGAAAACTAAGCTAAAATGCAGTCCTGTCTGGTAACAATTTTGATGATTTCTACTTAAATCCATTTTCAACTTATAGTAAAATATGCTAAAATCTTGCTTGATGATAGTTAAGGCATTGGGGGAAAAGTAGCTATTTGATTATTAGATATTTTGCGACTAGATATTATAGATGGGAAACTTGAGATGAGGACATTTCAGAAACTGGCCCTAAATGCCACACCTTGGAAACTATATTCATAAAATGCAAATACAGGAATTGCTTTCTTAATCCTATACCATTCATTTATCTTTTTCTATAACACATATAAAAGAATCATAAATGTACCATTGCCATTTTCTTATGGCTTCTAATCCTATGGTCATATAAGCTTGAAAGAGATGCATGCTATATTGTATCATTTTAGGGAAGCAAATGAAATAATCTCAAATGCTTACAGAAACAATCATATGTTAACATGACACTTATAGAGAAGTGTATTTAAAGACCATTGCATGTGAAGATAAAAACACCACTGAAAATTCTTCATAACAAAAAACATATGTATACAAAAGTATTATGTACACATATTACATTAATAATACATAGTATGTCTTATACATTTCCACATAAATGTTATACGTATTTTGCTTTTTTTATATAGGCAGATGTATATTGCTTCTGTGTGTGTATATGTGTTTGATTTGCAGTGGTATATGGGAAATCATATGTAATCAGAAGAATTTTATAAGCCTATCAACTCACAAATATATATTTCACAATTGTTTAACTCATGAGATCAGATCAGCAATTTAGGGATGTGGAGTGATTGGCTAAAGACTGATATATACGAACTGTGTCCAAAATTCATAATCCAGGAAGAGAAAAAGAGTTTGGCTCCTCAAGTGTCTAAAAAAGCAAGAACATATTTATACTGGAGTGCAAGAGCTGTACTATTGAACTCTGTCCATTTGGTCATAAAATTCTGTACTTAAGTGGTGACAAACTAAGAAAAAATTGTAATACTCTAGTATTTCTCGCTGACTGCTGTACCAAAATGACCCATATAACTGCATTCCTGACTCCTTCATGGAACAATAAATAATATATGAGTGTGCAAAGTTGCCTCTTCATATTGCAGATAAATTATCTAAAAGGAAGAGTTTTAAGTCATTTATATCCACTTACTTTTTTCTAAATATTTCTTGATTTTTCTAGTGATATAATGAAATGTTGCTAAATTAATATATATTTTTGTTTTATTTTTATGCAGTGCAAACTAGAATACCAGGCGTGTGTCTTAGGAAAACAGATTTCAGTCAAATGTGAAGGACGGTGCCCATGTCCTGCTGATAAGTCCACAAGTACAAGCAGAAATGTTAAAAGAGGTGAGTGATGAAAGTGCATCCATATTTCTACATTCATCCCACGCAATTAAGATGTTTTGCAGGAAATTTTAAGACAATAAATCCAGTTTGCTTTTGTGCATATACCTAACAGTAATTATATTGCCTTGAGCTTGTTTTCCATTATCCCCAAATATTATAGCAAATAATTGTTTTTATTTTTATACTTATCAAATTAATGGAAACCTATAGAAAAGTATTCATTTTTTTATGTGCTCACGTATATAAGTAATCTAAAATTATACCTTTAATAAATCATTGTGGTGGGCTGGGGATTTAGCTGAGCGGCATAAGCGCCTGCCTTGCAAGTGGGCAGTCGTGAGTTTGATCCCTGGTACTGATAATAAATAAAATAAATAAATAAATCATTGTGGCAATGCATGCTTTTGGTCTCTAAGATCTCGTTTTTAAATATTTTTATGTTTTTGGTCAGGGATCTGGTAAATGATAAAATATTTTCATTTAAGTAACATCGTTTAATGACTACTGTTCTGCAGGAAAATATTTTCCCTATATTGAATCATCACGTATAAAATAATATCATAACTTAATCACCAATTATTTGATATTAAATTAAAGCAACAAGTTTGTCTTGATATCTATTGTGATATAAAATTTAAAATTTTAAAAGATGTTTTCTCCTTTACATTGTATTAGTTTTATATTTGAGATTTTGTTTATCCTTAAAAAAAAAGATTCCCTGATTGCTAGATTCATCTCTACAAATCTATATGAAGAAGGAAGAGCAAGGAATAGATTTTCTGAGACAAAAACTATTTTACACAGCACTATCATGAGCCTTTGTCATGCGTAATTATCTGACACTTACAACTCATTAACTATAAACTGTATTTTTTGGTATGGCATTTTGGTAAATATTCTGTCACTGTGAGAAAATATGTGACATAATCAATTTAGAAGCCAGAAAGGCTTATCTTGGCTCAGAGTTCCAGGGGTTTCTGTCAGTCACTTGGCTTTGCTGTCCTTGGGCTGTAGTATGGTGCATGATGTATCTCAGGAGTGCTCTGTAGATGATCTGCTATCCTCCTGGAGGCCCCAAAACAAAAAGAGTGACAATAGGGGTGACCCCCAGCAACTCCTCAATGACACTGAATCATCCAACTATGCCCCACTCTTAAAGGTTCTGCCACCAACTAGTAGTGTCACTGGTTGGAGACCAACATCTTTGGCAGATGTTCTAGTTCCCAACTATAGCATGTGATACAATTGCTAGCCCATGGTATATTCTCATAATTAATATTTTGCTACATATATGATTTATTAATTTCATTGTCCCACTTGTATTGGACTTTCTCATATTGTCATATTCAAGATACAGAATTCAAATAAAAATGTTAGAACATTTTCTACAGTAAAGCAGCTTCTCAGTTTCGCTGTTTGCAAGTAAATTAGTTGATTTGAAAGTAATGACAAATCAGTGCTCAATTAGCAGGTCACGTACAAGACAACATCAAATAGAGAAAGAGGCGAAGATGCCTTCTAGAATCTCTATTCTTTACACCTCACTTTTTCTGCCTTGCAGAGCTATAAACTCCACTTCTGGGATTACTTACTTCTATGTTCTCCAAACCCATCATTCCAATCTATTCTCTCCAAATCACTCCAAATAAGGATTTTCAACATCTTCTGGAATATATGATTCAAACTTCAAAAAATTTACCACTAATTATATTTTTATTTTAACTGAGATTTTTTGATATTTGTGCCTTCCCCACCCCCAATCACAGGTGAATACACTTTTACAGTTAAGAATCCATTTTCCTCGGATAGTCTACTCAGGCATGAATTACGTTCTACTATATTTAATATCTATGTCTTATTCTTCCACTTGAGGTTTTAAGAATGTGTAGTCTCAGTAGGTGTATACATGTAATATATCAGAGACTTTCAGCAATAATTCTCTGCAGTATAATTTCCTGCTTTTAGGCGTACTTTTGAATGAAAAGATAGATTTGATGTTGTACCAATTAATCACAAACTCATAAACTAGAAAAGGAACACATATATTAAACATGAAAGGTAACACATCTGAGAAGAGGGCCACTTGAGAGTAAACCATATTTGTGTCTAAAGTTACTTCAGTTTTCTGTACAGCATTTATATTAACATGTCAAGAAGGAAACTTTAAGTGATATCATCAGGGGATAAAGATCATTTGTGTTCAATTGTGCGTAGAAAAAGAATCAAGAATTTAAACTAATCCTGCTCTGACAGATTGTCAAGCAGAGTAAGTACAGGATCTTGCTAGCTACTGTGGAAAAGCTGTACAGAGAACTTTGTATGTCATTTCTCCATGTGCCAAAGGCCGAGAGACATGGGAAATGTAAAACTGAGTTCAGTATCATTTCTAGTCTTTCAAGTGTCATTTATATTAGAAGCATGGCGTGGACAGACTTAAAGTGAAGGAAATTCTACTTAATATCATTCCTGTTCTAAAGAAGTAAGGAAGAATCTACTAACTGAGAAATACTTTTAAATATTTCTGACTTCCACCTTTTGAGGACAAATTGATACCATTGTTTCCTTTCACTTTGCTAATTGCAGAACAAACCCTTTATATCTATTTAAATTACATTTAAAGCTAATAAAAACTGATTTTCTTAGGAAGGAAGGGAAAATAAAATTCTCTTCTGTTCCACTAATATATTCTGTGAAGCGATTTGTAGAAATTCATTCAAATATATATGCATTCAAGTGTCTTAAATAAAGAAAAACAAATAATTTAAATTTTACAATCCTACATCTGATTTTCAAATAGAAAATTACATCTCTCTTCAGTGAGAAGCTCTTGATCATTTAAACATATTCCTTTCTTTTTCATTAAAAATTATGATCCTTGGCACTGCAAAGGAAAAATACTGTTCAATTACAACAAACATCATGTAGAGAATAGATGAACCTTGATAATAGTGGTGTTTCAGCTGATGCTTAAAGGTCTCTGATATTTTTACATTGTCAGTAAAATAAAAAATATGAGATTTACAGTTATGAACATGAACTATGAATGCGGCATTTTCTAAAGATATGTGTATACATTGGTGTGTAATCCAGTACTAAAATTTAAAAGCAATTTATAGAAACAAAGAATAAGACAATGGGGAAAATACTAAAGGACAAGATCATTGCAGAAATATTTTAGGAAGCATTTATTTTGTTTTTTGTTTGTTTGTTTGTTTGTTTGTTTTTTTTATTTAAGAGGAAAAAGAGAAAAACACAAAACAAACCAAAGCGGCGTAAGGGTACACGCAATACAGAACTACAAAACAAAACAAAACAAAACAAAACAAAACAAAAAAACATAACAGTAAGAAATCACCTGCTAGTAGATTACACACTATCTTCTTGAAAATAGTTCCTCAAATCACAGTATCAAAGAACACAAGGTGGACATTCAAACAGGGAGACTGCAAACAGCTGTGTTCAATGTTCCAAAAACATTGATAAAGTCAGCTATTTAACACCCCCAAACACACTTGCTGTTATATCCGTTAGAGTTCTTTTTTCTTTTTTTTTTCCCTCTCTTTTTTACAACAAAATTCACACATCTTGGATTTTATTACTCCTTAGTGCTTATTACTTTCTTTGGGGGGGGGGGGGAAGAATACAGTCAAATATGGCAAAACAAAGCTGTCAGTCAATACCAAGGATAGACATAGCACATGGTGTAGAACAGAGTACAAGTTTATCAACAATGGTTATCAACGTTGTCCCTTGTTTCCTTAAAAAGAATTGTCTATCTTATTAGATATTATAAAGTTGGACAAAACAGTAGAGAACAAGACCAATAAAACTTAGGCATTGTAAACATTACAGGACTTCCAAAGAAGACAATAGTCAAACCAGAATGGGTATCTTAGTGAATCTTATTGTCTTCAAAGTAGTTGCCTATGTCTTCAAACTTGATACTATCATATAGAATGGAACAGAGTCTAATCAGTCAAAACAAGATCGTGGGAGTACTACAGGACTTCAAAACAAGTTAATAGGAAATCGAAAAGAGTTACTATTTATATATCCTAATTTTTTTGAATTTTTTCTTTAATTAAGACAAACATAAGAAATGACTAAATATTTTTTTGAAACAATAAGGGGGAGATTGAGATAAAACAGGACATAACAATATAACAATAGAGGTCACAGCATGACTGTTTCAACAACCTAGTACTTCACCACCATATAACCTGACTTAATAGTAGTTACCATAGTGTCTTTTTCCTTGAAATATTTGGATAAAACTTCATATACTCTAGCTTCAAATATTTTCATATCAAGAAGCCCAGAATAAAGCCTTTCTAATTAATGAGTGAAAACTTTATAAGGCTTCAAGGCCACCTAATGGGGAATCATGATTACCACATATTTTTATATATTTGAATCATTACTTACATTAGGGAAACTATTCGGTATTCACACATGCGAGATTGATTTATTTCACTAATGAGTATGGTCTCAAGCTGCGCCCATTTATTGATAAATATCTCAATGTGATCCTTCTTTATAGCTGAATAATACTCCATTGTATAGAAATACCACAACTTTTTTATCCATTCCTCAGTTGATGGGCACTTGGGTTGTTTCCAAGATCTGGCGATTACAAATTGTGCTGCTATAAACATAGGTGCACATATATCACTGTGGTATGATGCTTTCAGTTCTTCTGGGAATATGCCTAGAAGTGGAATAGCTGGAATAAATGGGATTTCCAGTCCCAACTTTTTGAGAAATCTCCAGACAGATCTCCACAAAGGCTGTACCAGTCTACACTCCCACCAGCAGTGCAGGAGAGTTCCTTTTTCCCCACAGCCTCTCCAGCATTTGTTGTCGGTTTTCTTGATCCTGGCCATTCTTTCAGGAGTGAGATGGTATCTCAGTGTGGTTTTAATTTGCATTTCTCTAATGACCAATGATGATGAGCATTTTTTCATGTATTTATTTGCCATTTGCATTTCTTCATCTGAGAA